TTTATAATAATTCTATATTATTTATAACAGATTAATTGTATTTTTATCAGGTATTCAATACTGATTTAGTTTGGCAGATACTTTATACGAGAGATAAAAATGCCAATATCAGTTTAGAAGAAAAAGAAAAGATTATAATCTATGGTTGGAAGCAATTGTATAAAGATAAAGAAATGCAAGCATCAAGTAAAGATCAAACGGTACGAAATAATAATTAAAAATAATTAACAAAAATATAATCTGTGTTTGATAAAATATGCAATAAATATAATTTTTCAGAATCATCGAATTTCATCATTGATTATAAATCATGCAAAAACTAATAAATTATTAAAACCTATCAGCGATAGATGCCATGCATCAAAATCTACCTCGAACAAAACGTCAACGACAAAGAAGTGCTCAGACTCTTCGATGATGGATCTCGTAGCAATCCCACTTTCTAAAACAATATCTGATACTCGATTTCACACGCATACAAATAAAAATAAGAAGCCATTTCTGCAAAAGAAAGACATGAAAAATACTAATTCTACATTCAATATGAATGAGAAAAATGTCAAAAAAGATCTTATTACGTCAAAAATGACAACAAAGCAAGAAATTAAAAGTGTCTCTAAACATAACAAAATATCTGATAAACAAATAAATCAAACAATGAAATCAAACAATGAAAAATGCTCAAATAAAATCAACATGAAATCAACGACATCAACACAAGAAAGTAAATTAAAATGTAAAACACAACAAATTGCTTCTAAAACATCCGTTTCAAAAAATATTGTAGGAAATATAAAATCATCCCCAGTTTCAATACAAAATTTACATAATAAAACTCAATCACAAGCAAAGAGCAAACCTAAGAAGAAAGTAATTGCGACAAAATCTGACATATTGAATACTGATGAAGAGTCCGAGAACCCTTTTATAGTCAAATATGACAAAGTCGATCTGGCTGATTTAATCGAAGAAAGTTTGAAAAAAATTCGAAGTCCGCGAAACATATTTGATTATGATTTCAGTTGTGTAGAACAGTCGAACAGAACAAAGGACATTTTAGGTATTAGAAATGAAATTCAGAATATTGATAAATCGAAACAATTAAAACTTATCAAAAATAGTGTCGACACAAATAATTTTTCTCAAAAAATAATTCGGGATGACAAAATTCCGAAGAAACTTTTGGAGAAATCTGAAATGTTTAACGAAGCATCCAATGAGTCTCTTGATAAAATTTTTTTATCAAAAGAAGACATTAAATCTATTTCACTTTCTGAGAAGTATATGAAAGCCCGGGAAGAACTTCGAAAATCTTTAGAATGGAATCGAAGTGATCCAATCTCAAGATCGATGGGATCCAGATATAAATTTTCAAAATAAATCCTGTCCTAGAAAGATTGTTAATAATAATGAGAAATCCCCTATTCCTAAGAAACCATTAAAAACTTCTTTTCTAAAAGCATAACTCTTTGAACGGTTTAGAGAAAGGAATAAAATTCTAAAGATATTCAGAAAGGTTAAATAAAATTTACAAATGAAGATATTAAAAAAGATAAATAAAAAGAGTAATTAGAAATTTTAGAAATTTAAAAAAAATTTTTTTAATTAGAAAATTTTTGCATTATTCATATACTAAAATGATGTAACCAATTTTAGAATAAATGCTAAAAATATAAATATACATAAATATATATAAAAATATAAATAAATATAAATAAATATAAATAAATATAAATAAATTTTGCAGACATGCATATACAGCACAATTTCTCTCTCTAAATTATTACAAAACATAAGAAAAATCATCACGATTATTTTCTATTCTCTATTCTCTATATAATAATTCTATATAACACTCCTTTTTAGATAGAATCTTTACAGAACTTAGAACAAATAAAATTATTATTTTATAAAACAATAATTATATATAATGTACTTTTTGTAATGTTTTTAACGTAATAATACACTTACAATACATATTAATGTATTTTTAATGTAAAGTTAATTTTTCTACACTTTTGTTTTAAATTTCCAAATTTTTTACTTGAATATATAAAAATAAATACGGAGATCGGGATCAGTAGACTATAGAGGTAAGTAGAATAATCAAGATTGTAATATAAACATGCGCAAGACACGCGTAAACGTGTTTAAAACTTTGAACACACAGCGACGATTGCCGCTCAGTCTGTTATAAGATCTCGAGGAGGACGCGTCTGTATTATAAATTACACTATAATTTAAAAAAATCGTACACGTAAATAAATATTTTTATTCTTAAAGTTTTTGTTCTACAATTGTCTGAGATATTTGATTTCTATTTAGATAATAAATGTAATTCTTACTTAATAAAGTCTAATAAATTTTTTTTGTTTATTTATCTTTGTTATCGTATAATATTAATATTTAAAAAAAATGAATGATTTAAAAAAATGAAAAAAATGGATGAAGCTAGTAGACTAATCACAATACGAGGTTATATGACGATGAACTTTTTTTTGTCCAGAAAAATATCGATCTTTCAGCTACTGAGGAAAATATGTATGTTTCAGATGTTACCAAGAAAAATATCGATCTTTCATATGTCAAAGAAAATGTCGATCTTTCATCTGTCAAGAAAAATGTCAACTTATCTTCGATATCTAGCTTAATAGTCACACTTCAGGATATAAGATCTCTACCAAAAGTGGGATCAAGAAAAAAGAAGAAATACTCGTAAACTAGCAATATATACGGACTCGCCAAAAAAAGATGCCATCATGAAACAGAAGCTGAATAATCTAAGAAAAAAAGTAGAATCAACAAGAAAGGAAAGGAAATCGAATGAAAAAGCAAGACAGTAAGAAAAGGAAAAAGTAAAGAAAATCCAAGTAAAGAAAAACATCCTTTGGTCGAAAAAGTTACAAGGAAGGTTTCTGAATAAATTAAATTTTTCATTCTCGAATGAGACAGATGATGAAACGTGTCTCGTTTGCACAGAAAGTTATTTAAAAAATATTCCAGGAGAAGAGTGGATACAGTATGAAATGCAACATATGGACACATTCTAAATGTATAAAAGATAATAATCGTATATTTATTATATATGCAATTTGGATAACGATTCGGATTAAATAAATTATTTATCTAATAACAAGGTATAAAGTTATATTTTTTATTTTATAAATACGTTTGTGTTTAAAATGCATTTTTATAAAAGTTTTATAAACATGTTTATGTTTAAAATATATTTTTAAATATTATATATTAATTTTATATATTATATATTATAAATATTTT